CACTGAATTTTTCTCACTACTAGAATTCACTTCCAGGTAGTTCTACATATATAGAAATAATATATATTGATTCCATGCTATCCAGACAGGCAGGCTGTCCAAGTAGAGACATATTTTTCCCTCTCAAGTTTTCTATCCTTGGTAAGCATCTGTCTTTCTTCATGGAGGAGCAGTGAAGAGAATTTTTTAAAAAAAACTTCAGGAGCTGCCGTGCATTTTTTACATTCTCTTATTGGTCATCAGGAGGGAGCACTGACTGGCTCATTGTATTCCATGCCTGTTCTCAGCATTCTGAGTTCAGCAAGAGTGAAAGTAAAGAATTTTAAAATGTGTTGCTGGGACTGGGAAATGGAAATGATAACTGTGTGAAAGCACTCTACTTGTAGGTAGAAACATGTGTGTATGATTTGAACAAACAGCTAGGAAGGAACCTCTGGCTGATTTGCCCTTCCTCATGAAGCAGCAGTTTGCAAGAAAAAACGAGAGCCCTCAAAAAGTACAATGTCATGCACAAAAGTGTTCTTGAGATGTTTTGATTATAACTACTATGATCCCCAGTGACTATGCTAGCTGAAAATTATGGAGGTTGTAATCCAATGCTATTTCTGATTGGGGTAGCTGGGTTGTTATACCCTGACAAATTTTCTTTGCCTGCCACGATGCAGTATTTCAGGCCCAGTTTAAGTGAGCATAAGGCACTCAATTGTTTTGACCTGTTTTGTGTAATTCATTCTAGCATGACAGATGGATGCAGAAAAAATGGGGCATTTAAACAAATGCCTTGTGTATCTGTGTGTGCAGGCACGTAAGATTTCCTTTCAGTTGTCCATCCAGAGGGTGTCCTGGCAAAAATTTGCCAGCAAATGTCACAATAAAGATGAACAGCAACCTGAATAGGAATTCCTCCTACAGCTACTAAGACTTCTTCCTCATGGCTGAGTCTAAAGGCTTCAGCCAACAATCAATTCTATCAGCATAATATTTGCTGACCCCTGATGATTCTTGTCCTGCTAAAAGCCTGGTGCCATCCTT